GACGGCGCTCTTTACGCGGCGGGCGTGAAGGACGAATTCCAATATATATATATATATATTGTGGAGGAGTGTGTTGGGTAAAAAATGGATCAGGGTGAAGGCGAGAATCGGACGAGGCACAGTGGGAGGAAGAGGGGGAGGAAGGGGAGGAGGAACGAAGAAAGTACATCGCATGGCTGAATGCATCACGTACAGATGGCAGCGTCATCGAGATACCAGGGATAACATCAATCCTTTATCACGCTTAGTACATATACCGACACCAATGCGTCGATATTACGCACATACAGGCACACTTACCTCTCGAAGAAGAGAGGCAATCAAAAACTTGCGACGATCCAAATCTCCAAGTCCGCCCCTCTCTTGTATGACACCCGCACAAGTCGGGAAAGCCTCTGTCTGCCACTTTGATTTACAATGCTGGCGAGGAGCGCAGGTCTTGTCAAAAAGAGGCGAGGTCGGCCGCCGTGGGGGGTCGGAACGAGCAAATAGAGAGAAAGGCCGCTCTCGATCTGCTTCCTTCATAGTGTACGTATCCCGAGCCTCACGGGCAGATTAATGTGGAAATCCACGAGTCGATATATCGCTGGCTGACGAAATTGAAATCGTGCCGTGGATTGCCGGCATGCGATGGCTTCCTGAAAGAGTGAAGTGGGGGTCCAGCACTTAATGGGCCGCGATGTGCAATGAATATACGACAAGGCGGCCCGGCTAGATATAAGCGGCCGTCAATGTTTCCTGTCGATGGTTAAGTAATGTATACTGCCAGGCGATGCGCTAGCACATACATCCTCTATTTTCGTTTGCCACAAATTCAACTTTTGCGGGTCAAGGCTGTAGGCGGAAGTTTAAATTTGCAACGGTTCTTAACGGTCTGGAGCCCAGCCCTCTAGTGAAAGTTTTGGACAACGAATGCCGAGTTCTATGAAAGAATTGTGTGCATTCAGTGCATATTTAGAGTGCCTTTATAGGTAGTATACCTGTTAGAGGAGCATGTGAGCGCTTTAGGGGCGTAACTTTGCGTGAAACAGGTAAAGACCTGGAGCCTTCATGAAGCTAGCAATGGTCAGTAGGCTTAACCCTCATCCCGGGACAAAACACGAAATGGCAAAAAATAATGAGTTAGTGTTACATAGATGGATAGATATAGATACGTATGGAGTTGGGGGTGGGCATGATTTATCGATCCTAGCTGTGATATGGGGCATACAACAATAATAGCGACGTCCATCGTTCATCATTGAAGATAGCACACAGGGGAGCACGCAACAAGGATCACACGAGTAACCGTGTCCGTCACCACTTCCTATCTCTTGGTCTACTCTTGACCCTCTAAGATGGCTGCTCATTACGGCGATAAATGTGCTTTGTGTGGGCGGAATGATTTCTTGCCGCACAGGTAAGTGCTTGCAAGTGGGGTCGTGAAAACGAAGCAGAGGGAGGTAAATGGAAGAATGAATATTCCGGCAAATGATTATTCTCAGACAATCAGGTTGCAAAGGCCAAATCAAAAGCATGGCTTCCACTTCATGCGCTTCCTGATTGGTCCTCTTCATTCTTGCCTCCTCGTTTCCGCAGGTGTACCTTGTGCTCTTTGCTGCATTGCACCGATCACATGGCGCCCTTTGCCCACGAATGCGCCGGACGAGGTAAGAAATAAAAGATGTGCGGGACGAGGGACAGCCTGTTTCATCCAAACGAGGCATGGGTGCGGTTTACTACGCATCCAAGGGTTCTACCCCGTACAAAAAGGAGCCTCGCCCTTCCCTTCTGCCTGGTGTCCTCCCCACATCAGCCCCTCACCTCTCCTAACATCCTCCCTCTTTTGTAGAGGATAACACCAGTAAAGATCGGCCGCAGGCCTTCGGACTCGGTCAGGCGTTGGCGGAGGAGATGGACCGGGTCAGACGTCGATTCGATGGAGCAAGCGAGGTAGGTAGGGAGGAGGGGAGGGAAGGAGGGAAGGAAAAAGGGATGGAGGGAGGACTTGTCGAAATCAGCAACAAAAGAAGCTTTAAAGGGGGAAAGTAGGAATTTTGGAGCATTTTTTCCACGCACACTCCGCGCTCCGTCCCTTCCTCCTTCCCTTCCTCCCTCGCTCTCCTCCCCTCTTTTCCTCCTGGTCCCTCTTCCCTCCCTCCCTCAGTGGGCGACTAGGGAGCATTTCCGTGTCCAAGGGAGCCAGGCAGATCTTGCGACTTCCTTTCGCGCCGAAAACAAGTATTTGAAGGCCTATCGGGAGCAGGCGAAGGCAGGTTGGAAGGGAGGGAGGGAGGGAGGGAGG